TCTTTCTTTTTTTTTTTTTTTGCGTTACTGGGGCTTGAACTCAGGGCCTATACCTTGAGCCACTCCATCAGCCCTTTTGTGGTAGGTATTTTCAAGATAGGGTCTCTTGAACTATTTGCCCGGGCTGGCTTCGAACTGAAATCCTCCTGATCTCTGCTTCCTGAGTAGCTAGGATTACAGATGTTAGTCACTGGCGCCCTTCAAGCATTGATTCCTAACCCTCCTGTGTGTCAGAGTCACAGGGTGAGATGGAGCATGACTATTCCAGAGCCTGGATGCCTGGGAACCCCCCACCCCAAGATTCTGACACAGCTGGTCTGCAGTGGGCATTAGAAGCTGAGAGTCTGAAAGCCTTTCCAGATGGTTCTAACGTGCAGACTGGGGGTGGGGGTGTGTGTGTGGGGGTGGAGGGTGGAGGGTCCTGCTTCACCAACATCCTCTGAAAGGAGTGGTTTACACCCTCTGCCTCCACTTCCTTACCTCTCATGTACTCTTGACCATGACTGTGTGGCTTCTGCCCCCACCACATGGCATCAAAAGTGCCCTGGCCACTGGGTGCCAGTGTAATCCTAGTTATTCAGAAGGCAGAGATCAGGAGGATCACGGTTCAAAGCCAGCCTGGGGAAGTAGTTTGAGAGACCCTATCTTGAACATACCTAACACACATACAAAAAAGGGCTGGTGGAGTAGCTCAAGGTGTAGGCCTTGAGTTCAAATCCCAGCACCGCAAAAAAAAAAAAAAAACCCTGCTGTGGCCAAGGCCAACCATTTTTAGTCTACTTTCCACTTGCTGTGCCACACCCTACTTCTTGAAGCCTCCCCACCCAGACATCCTCTCCGGGTTTGCTCCTCTATGTGACAGCCACACCTCTGCCTTTTTTTGGGGGGGTGCACTGGGGCCTCACACTTGCTGGGGAGGCACTCTCACTTGAGCCACCCCTCAGTCCATTTTGCTGTAGTTATTTTAGAGCTGCTGGTCTGGTGAACTATTTGCCCAGCTGTGCTGCAAGGAAACTGCCAGGAACTCTGAGATCTAGTTTCTGTGCTTGTCAAATGAAAATAATCCCCTGTGGGGAGTTTCAGATGAGACAGAGTACGAGAACTGTGCCCACATGCTGCGGCTGTCAGTGCCATTATCACCACCGCTGTCCACTCCCCCTCAATTTGCTCCTCTCTCAGAACAACTCCTGTTACTTGCAGCCACCTGGGGAGGAAACCCAAGGCTTCCCTATCTGAAAGCATCCATTCTGGTAGCTCCCACCCTACAAGTAGCAACCACATTGGACCTTCTCTCTGTCCCACCTCTGCTGCCCAACTTCAAGGCCTTATTGCTTTTTGCCTCCATCTCCTTTTGCATCCTCAATCCACCTCCAGTGTGCTTTCCTTCTGGGAAAAGCCATAATGGCAGCATTTCCTGGCGCGAAGTGCTGAGGTGGCTCCTGACTTAAGTAGTTTAGTGCTTTTCACTCCCATTTCTCCCAGGAGACCTTCCCTCAGCCCTCTCCCTGCCTGTGCTTGGCCTTTGAGCTCTGAGCACCTGCTTTTTCTGTCCCAAATGTCTTGCTCCTCTTCACACCTCTGCCTGGCAACCATTACTCATCCATGACACGTAGTCATCTTCCCTTCTTGTCCCCACCACTCTGGGGAAATGCTTCAGTCATTTCTTTAGCAAACACGCCTACTATGTGCCAGACGGTGCCTCTCAGGGCTTTGTAAATATTAGTGCTTTTATTTTTATAACAACTTATGAGGTCATTATTGTGATTATATTTATCCCTGTTTCAGATGAGGGACCTAAGATCCCCACGTGGCTGAGTCCCTGGTCCATGATCACTTAGCTAAAAGTGGCAGAGCCAAGTATTATAACGCAGGTTGTGTGACCCTAGGGTCTGGGCTCTGAGTCACTATACCGTGTGGTTTCTCTGATGGGATAAGCATCATTGTACACTTACTATTAAATTACACATCATGAAATTGCTCGTTTTTGATCTATAAAAAGCTGCAGATTTGGCTACTTTGTTCACCATTCATTAAACTCATTCCCTCTCTCTCTCTCTCTCTCTCTCTCTGTCTCTCTCTCTCTGTCTGTCTGTCTCTCACTATTTCACTCTTTGTATCTACATTTCATAATTGTTAATCTGGTTTATCTTCATAATAAACTCTGTTTTGTTTTTAAAAAAAAAGCTGCAGATTTGTATGGTTCATGTGCTGTGGAATACAGCAGAAAACAGTCAGCCTTAGAAAGAGGAGATAGTTTTGGAATGGGCAATGGTTAAGCAGGGAGCTGAAAGAGTATATGACCTAATGTGGGGGTCTGTGAGGGCCCCCTCTGAGACAGTGACATGTTAGAAAAGGCCTGAAGAGGAACAAAAGGTGAAGGGGCATTTGGTGAAGTAAGGGAAAGACTTCCAGGCACAGTGAGGCCCTGGGATACACAGGCCAAGGCCTAACAGGTGAGAGAAAAAGCTGCTCTCTCTGTCAACCATTGTGGCCCAGCAGTTAACCCCTAGCACAGAACCTGCTCAAATAAGGATTTGTGAAAAGAATGAATGAGAAATGGAAAGAAGGCAAGAGAGGTGGAACATGCTGTGTAAGTGGGGTTTTCAGCAGGAAAGTTACCAAAGAAAATCAGAAGTGGCAGGAATTAAGGAGGTAACATCAGATTTTATTCAGAACTATTGTAGTAGGGGAAAGGAGACCTCAGGAAAGAACTGGGCCCAACTCTGAACATGGTGTGGACCAGTGGGCATTCCCAGTCAAGGATCAGGATGGGATCAGTGGACAGAAAGTGGGGGGTTGTTTTTGATTTTTGGTGGATCTGGGGTTTGAACTCAGAGCCTCATGCATGCTAGGCAGGCGCTCTATTACTTGAGTCACTCCACCAGTGGGAAATGGGGATTTTTGGCTATAGCAACCCAACAGGCCAGGGTGATGCGATGCCTCTGGGGGATGGTGGTGGAGGAGGGAGTGGTCAGATGTTGAGGGTGATCAGAGATGGAGGAGGGAGGATGCTGGCAGTACTGACTTAGCAGAATTCTTGCTAAAGTTGCTGAAATTCATGCTAAAATACAGAGACAAACATGCAAGTCTTTTTCAAGGCCCCTTTGAAAAACAGTCTAAGGGAGTCTGAGCAGGGTTTAGAAGGAGAGTCTTTGAGTGGTCCATTAAAATTTACATTTTGTTTTTGTTTCTGTTTTTTTGTTTTGTTGAGTCAAAGTCTCACTATGTAGCTCAGGCTGCCCTCAAACTTGAAATCTTCCTGTCTTGGCTTCCCTAGCACTGGGATTACAGGTGTGCACCATCACAGCCAGCTTTATTGCTTTATTCTAAAAACAAGTTTAATGAAGTATAATTATAAACTATAAAAAAATTCATGAGCTGGAGGTGTGGCTCAAGTGGTAGAGTGCCTGCTTTGCAAGTGCAAAAGCCCTGAGTTCAAACTCCAGTCTCACCAAAGAAAAAAAAATTCATCCTTTTTTTTCTGTACAGTTCTGAGTCTTGACAGACCATCAGTTGCATAATCACCATCAGAGACAAGAGAGAGCCGGTCACTCAAACCGATCCACATGCTGTCCTGTGGCCAGCCACTCCCACACCCCAGGCAGCCACAGAGCTGGTCTCTGTTCACTAGGGTTTTGCTTTTCCAGGATGTCATGTAAAGAAACCAAATTAGACAGCAACCTTTTGAATCTGGCTTCTTGGACTTGGAGTAATAGTATAAGGAGCTCGTTCCTTTTTGACTGCAGAATTCCATTGTGTAAACGCATTATAATTTGTTTATCCAATGCTTACAAGTTGAAGGATTCAAATTTGCTTTTCGTTTTGGTGTTTTTTTTTAATCATTGTTGATAGTTTGAATGCATAGAGAAGGGGAAGCCTCACCTCTGCCCTGACGTTCCCTGGCCTTTTCCCTAGCTGGATCCCAAAGTCTGGAGACTGAGCACCAGCCTGGGCACAGCCGGCTCAGATTGTGGGGATGTGGAGGAGGGCGGGGAGCAAACACTGAGGACTGGATCAGAAGTGGGGTGAGTGGGTGAGCGTGTGTGTATGCGCGTGAGAAACCAAACAGCCTCACAGGCCACCCAATTTTCCCCGCACCTGGAAAGTCAAGTGCACGGGTGGTGGAGCCGCGAGACTGCATGTCTCCCCCTGACCGACAGATGGCGCCGTTGCACTGCGTCTGGGTTCCGCCTCTGCAGTCGCAGCCTGTCCCATCCCGCAAGGCGGGTCCGCGCTGCACTCGGCGGGGAAGGACCTGAGACCACCAAGGCCATACCCCTTACTCGCCTGCGGTGCTGAAGCCACGTCTCGCAGTGCAGGGCTTCGAATCCACTTTTCCCACGCTCTTTCCTCCTTGCGCAGCCCCCATCTCTAGAGGGAGCACAGCCTTGCTACCGACTATAGTTACCCTGACTGCTCTATGCTAAGAAGGTTGATCTCACGTTATTCTTTTATTTTCATAATAATATGTAAATAAAAGTTAAAAACATGAGGCATGGTCATGACAGGAAGGAGTACATGTCTTGCTTTAAAAACTTATTTGAACTGGGCACTGGTGGCTCACATCTGGGTTCCTAGCTACTTGGGAGGCTAAGATCAGGAGGATCATGTTTTGAGGTCAGCAAAGGCAAATAGTTCTTGGGACCCCCATCTCCAAAATAACTACAGCAAAATGGACTGGAGGTGTGGCTCAAGTGGTAGAGCTTCTGCTTTGCAAGGGTGAAGCCCTGAGTTCAAACCCCAGTCCCTCCCCACACACACAAAAATTGATGCTTGTCAGAAGTTTAAGTCTAACTAAGTGTCTTGTATTTCCACTTGCTCAATCCTGCCACTTTGTCCAGCGCACAGGGCCCCCATCTCTGGCACCAGCCCCTCCCCTGGGATCAGCTTGAACTCTGATTGGCTAATTGCCCAATTTAACAGGTTGATAAATATTTTGACTGTCACCCCTGAGTACAAGAAGGCAGCTCCAGCAACAGCTGTCTCTTTTTCCTTCCCAGGCCTGCAGCTCCTGCTGCCACCCAGCACCCTGGCAGCCCTGGCGGACACCTGGCTCCGGGAGGACTGTCCAGGCCTCAACTTCGCAGCCTTGGTCACCGGGGCAGCCCCTTCACAGGCGGCGCTGTGGGCCAAATCCCCCGGGGTCCTGGCCGGGCGACCTTTCTTCGATGCCATCTTTGCCCAGCTCAGCTGCCAGGTGTCCTGGCTTCTCCCAGAGGGGTCGAAGCTGGTACCTGTGGTGAAGGTGGCGGAGGTCCGGGGCCCTGCGCACCGCCTGCTGCTGGGGGAACGCGTGGCTCTTAACATGCTGGCCCGCTGCAGTGGAATCGCCAGCACTGCCGCCACCGCTGTGGAGGTCGCCAGGGCCACCGGCTGGACTGGGCATGTGGCGGGCACGAGGAAGACCACGCCTGGCTTCAGGCTGGTGGAGAAGTATGGGCTCCTGGTGGGCGGGGCTGCCTCCCACCGCTACGACCTGGGAGGGCTGGTGATGGTGAAAGACAACCACGTGGTGGCAGCTGGTGGTGTGGAAAAGGTATGTGTCTGCTCCCACCCTCGTCACAGCCCTTCCAGAGAGCCAGCCACTGCCTGGTGACACGTGTATCCCCAGAGGTGCAGACTGGCCTGGACTGGAATCCTCCTATTTTATGCTTCCCACAGTAGCTGGGGTGACAGGCGTGTACCACCACACCCAGTTGTTGGTTGAGATGGGGTCTTTTGAGCTCCCTGCCTGGCTTGGCCTCAACCTAAGATCCTCTGGATATCAGCCTCCCAAGTAGCTAGGATTATAGGCGTGAACCACCCTAGCTACTCAGGAGGCAGAGATCAGGAGCATCAGTCTGAAGCCAGCCTGGGCAAATAGTTTGCAAGACCCTATCTCAAAAAAACCCATCACAAAAAATGGGCTGGTGGAGTGGCTCTAGTGGTAGAGCACCTGCCTCACAAGCAAGAGACCCTGAGTTCAAAACCCCGTACCACAAAAACAAAACAAAACCCCCACAAAAAAAAAGAAAGAAAGAAAGAAAGAAAAACAACAACAACAACACAAAAAAATAAACCCAAAGGACAAATTGAGGGAACCCAATGTAAATGGCGCTAAGACCTTGGAACCATTACTTGAACTTGAACTCTCTCAAATTATTTGCCCAGCTGTAGCAGTGTTCTTAATACCCCTTCTAGTTCTAATAGTTAGACTCGAATTGAATTCGGCTCGTCTCATGTGGCTTAACCTAACAGAAAACTTCTCAAATTTCCTAATCAATCCTGAGTGTGTTATCCATCTAGGGCCTTTCAGGTGCCAGTCCCAGCTCCCCCTGCCTCAGGGCCAGATGCCCAGCTACTCACCCTCACCCTCACCCTTGTGGCCTGGCAGGCAGTGCGGGGTGCCCGGCAGGCGGCCGACTTCGCCCTGAAGGTGGAGGTGGAGTGCAGCAGCTTGCAGGAGGCAGTGAGGGCGGCCAAGGCCGGGGCCGACCTGGTCCTGCTGGATAACTTCAAGCCTGAGGTGAGCTGGGATCTGACTGGTGGGGAGGGACCATAAGGAGCTCTCATCTGCCCTCAGCTTGTGTCTTGCAGGAGCTGCACCCCACAGCTGCAGCCTTGAAGGCCCAGTTCCCACGTGTGGCTGTGGAGGCCAGTGGGGGTGTCACGTTGAGCAACCTCCCCCAGTTCTGTGGGCCCCACATTGACGTCATCTCTTTGGGGATGCTGACCCAGGCTGCCCCAGCCCTTGATTTCTCCCTTAAGCTGTTTGCTGAAGGGGCCACTCCAGTGCCCCATGCCCGTCGGTCCTAAAGCCAAAAAAGAAGCCACTGCACTGGGTTGATGTGGCTTGCTTACACATCTTTAGGTTCAGTGGCCACAGGACACACCAGTGTTAGCCTGGGCTCTTCTCAGTTTCCTAATCTGTGAAATGGGTCTAATAAACGTTGAACTTTGGGGGTGGTGGTGATAATTACCACATAATAAGTGTTAGAAATTACCATAGTTCATTTATTCCAACTGTTTCATAGTGAGACCCATTACGCAGCCACAAGCCTGTGTGTACAGCTCAGAGATATATGATAAAAGTCTATGCTGAAATAGCCCCAAGCAGCTTTTTTTTTTTCCCTTGCAGTGCTGGGGAGCAAGGGGCCTTTGGCATGCTAGAAAAGCTCCCGACCACTGAGACATCCCCAGCTTGCTTGTTTGCTTGCTATCTCATTCCTTCCTTCCTTTCTTTCTCTCTCTCCCTCCCTCCCTCTCTTCCTAGGGTCTCACAATATAGCCTAGGCTGGACTGAAATTTCTGGGCTCAAGTGACCCTCCCACTTCAGCCTCCCATTTGGCCAGCACTACAGGCAAATGCCACTGTGCCTGGCTTTAAAACAGCTCTTTCCGCACGTGTAAAGTATAAACTGTAAGCAATAGAAAGGCATTGGTCATAGTTTAACTAACAGTTTTCCCTTTGAATAATCATGCCTATGTTTTACAAAGAATGGACTCTTATATTTTGGCATCAGGTCACTTGGGACGTTCCATTTGGCCAATGCCCATGTTGTGGTAATTACTGAGAATTTCAGCCAGGCACAGATGGCTCATGCCTATAATCCTAGCCACTTGGGAGGCTAAGATTGGGAGGATCAAGGTTTGAGGCCAACCTGAGCAAAAGTTAGAAAGACCCCCCCCCCAGTCTTAACAATAGCTGGGTGCAGTGGTGCCTGCCTGTAACCCTGGCTGGGGAGGGGTTGAGATTGGGAGGACTGCAGTTCCAAGACAGTTTGGACAAAAAAGTACTGGAGACCCTGTCGCAACAGAAAAAGCTGGGTGTGGTGGCATGTGACTGTCACCTCAGCTTCAGTGGGAAACATAAATGCGAGGAGTAGGACCAGGCTGGCCTGGATAAAAACTGATAGACTATCTTGAAAAAAACTAGAGCAAAAAGGGCTGGAGGGATGGCTCAAGTGGTAGAGCACCTGCCCAAAAAGTGTGAAGCCCTGTGTTCAAACCCCAGCACCGACTTTGGTGTCGGTGACAAACTTTCTAACTTCTAGGGTCTCCAATGGACTCCACCTTGCATTATCCCATGAAAGAAAACCCTCCCACACTCAGCTGAAGGCCTTTTAAGATCTCCTCCATGGGCCTAACCTTTGGTGGGAGAAGGTGGTGTGCCAGAGCCCCTGGGACCAGTTGAGGGATGGGAATAGGACAGGTGGAGTCCAAGTGTTCAAAGGTCACACTACCTTCCTCAGTAGCTCAGGCTTTGGGGATCTACGAAGAAGACTGAAGTCCAGCTCCCCAGACAAACACACACCCCAAGTGCCTATTCACCTCTGTGGCTGCTTCAACCCTCACCTCAAGCCTAGGCTTTGCCTCTGTCTAACCCTTACTGGGCAGCTCCTGCAGGAGCAGAGACACGAGAGTTCCCCAAGGTGAAGATGGTCCTCAAGGTGACTCCTTCCAAGGAGGCTCTCCTTGGCGCTGCCACCACCCTCTCAGAACCCACTCTCTTCTCTGCCCTTTGCCACAAGGAGAGAAAAACAGCCCTTGCCCACAAAGGCCCCATCCCCAGGGGGTCTCTGAGGGTCTCAGACTGCCTTCAGGGAGGTACACTATCTTTTGTCCCTTCCTCAAATCTGGAGAACAGCAAGGGGCCTGGGTAAAGGGCAAATAAAATGATGAAAAAGAAAGAAAGGAAAGAGAGAGAGAGAGAGAGAGAGAAAGAAAGAAAGAAGAAAATGATGAGGGGTGAGCATGATGGTGTATGCCTGTAATTCCAGCTGCTTGAGAGGCAGAGATAGGAGGATCATGGCCTTGGGTGGCTGGCCAAAGTGAGAGAACTTATCTGAAAAATACCTAAAGCAAAAGGGCAGTGGGCATGACTTAAGTGGTAGAGCAAGCAACAGTCCCTGAGTTCAAACCCCAGTATCACCAAAAAAGAAAGGAAGGAAGGAAAGGAGGGAGGGAGGGAGAGATGTATGGAGGGGGAGAAGGGGGAGGGATGGAGGAAGGAAGGAAAACAATGAGTTTATCTCAGAGGCAGAAGCCCCAGACAGGCCAAGCCTGCATTCTGCATGTGCTGTGCCAGGCTCATTTACTCATTTAAGCCTATGAGTTCTTTTCTGTCTGTCCTTTTTTTTTGGCGGGGAGTGGGGTGGGGGAGAACTGGTTTGAATTCAGGGCTTTGTGCTTGCTAGGCCTGTACTCTACTGCTTGAGTCATATACTCCCAGCCTAGCCATCCATATTTAGATGCTACCTTTGGCAGTGCTCTGTACCAAAAGAGTCAATCCCACAGGACACAGATTGAGGTTCCACCTGGGGCTACACCTGTGCTCTCTGATCCCCCTCTCCAGCCTTCCTCCAGGGGGTGCATGGACACACTCAGCAAGGTGGCCCAGCTCCAGCAATCTTAGATCCGTGAGCCCCAGCTCCTCATTCCTGAAGAGGGAGCACCAAGCCCCATAGAACCAGGGCACAGCAGACTACCAGGGTAGGAATGTTAGGCCAGGGGAGTGATCTGGGGATTGGAAGGCAAAACATCTGGGATCCAGGGGGATTCACAGCCTGAGGGAGGCAGGAGTGAGGTGTGTGTACTATGGAGTCTCAAATTTAAATGTCTCCAGAACCCAAAATAAATGGGTAAAGATGTAATAAGACAAAGGAGGGGTGATGAACTGTGCCCACGTGTTTCAATTAAAAGAAAAAAATCTGCCAGGCTGAATCTTAAGCTCACCCTTGAGCTCAGAAATGGCTCAGACCTAACAGGAACTTCCAAATCTGAGGGCTGGGGAGGGGATCCCATTACAGAGGAAAGGAAATGGGTCCTGGGCAAGCAAAAGCCACCCACATTCTCTTTGTGGCGAGATGGATTTCCAGGCAGAGGGCACTGCATGGGCAAAGGCCCAGAGGTGGGAAGTGGCTTCTATTGTCTGCTGTAAGATTTGAAGCCGGGCTTGGGAAAGCAGGATGGCGAGGAGATGGGCTGATTCCAGACCACAAAATGGTAGGTCAGAGGGTTTGGACTCTGTGCCAAGAACAATCAGATTCAAGCGAGCAGATGAGGTAAGCATATTAGTAGCTTAACCCAGCCTACTGCAGGAACATATATTTGAGGGGACAGAGTGGCTGCTGGGAGCCAAGAACTACCCAAGAGGGCTTGAAGGTGGGGTGTGCCAACTGTGCATGAATGCAGGCAGGGAACAGACGTCTGCAGAGGCTCAGAGGACAGTGGGAGTCTGATGGGTTCAAGGCAAGAGGAAGGGTTGGGTGTGGCATGGTGACGGGAGCAGAAGAGGAATCTCATGCCTGACTTGGTGCTTATTCTCCAGCTCAGCGGCCACATGTCTTCATTGCCTGGCCAGCTTTGGATCAGTGTCCCAGGTTATCCCATGCCCAGTGTGAAGCCCATTTAGCAGATGTACCCGTCAAATCAATTTGCTAACCCACAAGCTGATGTACTGTCATCAGCCTGTGCCACAGCATCAGTGTGCTCTGGTGGCTGAGAGGGGGCTCAAGCAGTGCCCCGTCCACCATGTGCTGGTCCCTTCCTCTGTTAATGCTCACAGAGGCAGAGCGTCAGCTTCTCCATTTTACCCACAAGGAGCTGAGGCTTTGTGAAGTTAAGGGAACTGCTCACATTGCTAGTTTGGTGGGGCAGGATTTGAAATCCCTCATTCAGTCTACAACCATACCACCCTGAACATGCCCAATCTCTTCTGAAATCCATCCTTCACTTATTCAATGAAGGTCTGTTTAACACCTATTATGCCATGCACTGTCTAGACACTGGACACAAAACAATGACTAAACAGATAAAGCTGTCTGTCCTCGTGGAGATTAAATCCTAGTGTGGGGTTGGGGTGGAGGTAGAAAAGAGCAGACAATGAAAAAGATAATTAAGAAAAATATGTGGGATATCAAATCAAATATGCAGAACGACCACTAGAGGGCGCCCCACCCAGCGCCTTCCAGTCCCTGCTTTCAGGTTCTTCTGGATTCCAGACAATAGCAGGGTGGCTTTGAATGCTAAGTGTAGCATCTGCTCAAGAAGAAAGCTGGGAGGAATTTGAAAGTGAAGTCAGAAATCATCACCATTTTTTCAGCTGAATCCTATCATCAGATACTTGTCCTTCCACCTGCCCAAGGTAGCTCAGTGACTTCAAAGTCCTGTGGACTCCAAGTTTACCAGCAACTCATACTCGCTCACCAGCCTGTGGTCAGCCTTTTCCACTTGCCACCTGCCCCCCTTCCATTACCCCCTTGCTTACCCATTCACCCTATCCAGCACTCAGCTGCTACACCTTCCTTCTCTGCCCACCTGTCTGGCCACCCATCCTGCCCATCCCTCTTCCATTCAACTTCCTGCCCACCCACCTATCCTACTCACCCATTTAGGCTTCCGTTTTCTCAGCCCTCCTTCCACCATCCTGCCAGCTGATGCTACTGAAGCCCAGAACTGGAGCACTCAGTCTATAGTGACAAGGAGGGCAAGAGATCAAACCAAGTTGATAAATGAGTGAATTGCTTCAATGTGCGTGAATTTTAGTGTGCCAAGGCCAAGGAAAGGTGGAAGAATTTAAGAACATCAACGTAGGGCCAGAGCAGTGACTCCCACTTGTAATCCTAGCTACTCTGGAGGTTCTGATCAGGATGATTATGGTTCAAGGTCAGCCTGGCAAAAAGGTCGTGAGACCTTGAACTCAACCAATAAAAGCTGGGCGTGGTGGTGGATGCCTGTCATTCCAGCTGCTTGGGAAGCATAAATAGAAGATGGCAGTCCAGGTAGGCCAAGGTATTAAAAAAAAACCTAAAGCAAAAAAGGGCTGGGGGTGTGGCTCAATTGGTAGATCACCTGCCTTGCAACTATGAGGTCCTGAGTTCAAACTCCAGTACCATCAACAAAAAATAAAAGCAAGAACCTGGCAAGATAGTCTTAGCAAACCGAACTGTTTCTGAAAACAATCTAACTTTGGATTTTAAGAAGACTCCACTGTGCTAGTGTGCTGTGGACACGAATTACTTTTCGCTAGCCCTCCCAGACAATAGAGTAGGTAAAATTCCATAAGTGTTTCAGCACCTCTGTTCTTTGCTCCAAGGACTTCCTGAGTGCTAAGTCATTTGGACATTTACTCAGTAACATTTAAGTGCTGTTTTCTGAGGCCCTAAGTTGCTCAGCATTGTGAGACCAGACTGTATATAAATACTGAAAAACTTCTGACCACAGGCTGTGAATGAATCCTCATCAAACACTGCACATCAGATTTACCCCAGATAATATGGGATTTTTTTATTCAGGTGTATGTTCTTGTTCGCACCACCAGAAACCACAGCACAGCTGAAAAATCACCAGGAAAGTCATCATGTATCTGTCTAGTTTGTTGAGAGCCTGGGCAACCTCCTTCCTCTCTTCCAGTGTTTTCTAAAAGATTCAGAAGCCCTATGCAGCACTAATAAAGAGGTATCCTCAAGAGGGCATGGTGGTACATGCCTGTAATCCCAGCACTGGGAAGACTGAGGCAGGAGGATTGTGAGTTTGAGGCCAGTCTGGGCTACATAGTAAGAGTCTTATCAAACAGAAGAAGGAGAAGGAGAAGAATGTGGCTGGAGGTATGGCTCAAGTGTGGTAGAGCGCTTGACTAGCAAGTGCAAGGTCCTGAGTTCAAACCCCAGTACCACCATAAATAAATAAATAAATAAATAATTTTAAAAAGAAAAAGCAGAAAAAAAGTGAGTGTTTGTAAGTGTCCTTTGGCTAAAGTATATGGGTTGTAACTTTGATGAAAGTACTTTCTGTGGCATTCTGGAAGTGTACAGAAGCCTAAAACTGGTCACAGAGTGTGACAGACAGGTAAGAAAATGAAGACTGTTAGGATGAACACCTCTTCCAGAACATGGGCTGTAAAGGAAGTGAGAGGTGTGTGAAGGAGAAAGAAGTAATTTTGGGAACTAGAGTGAGGCTCAAGTAGTAGAGCGCTTGCCCAGAAAGCACAAGGCCCCAGAAAGGAAATAATTTTTGGTTGGCTGGTTGTTTTAAAATGGGATTATTTATTTATTTATTTGGGAGCACTGGGGTTTGAACTCACTCACACTTGCTAGGCAGCCCTTTTTTGGTGGAATATTTTGAGGTAGGGTCTTGAAAACTATTTGCCCAGGGATGGCTTTGAACTGTGATCCTCCTGATCTCTGCCTCCTGAGTAGCTAGGATTACAGATGTGAGCCACAGGCATCCAGCTGATATGTTTTTGAGATTGGGTCTCATTAGGTTGCCCAGGCCAGTACTGAGCTCCTGGGTTCTAGTGATCTTCCTCCTCAGCCTGAGTAGCTGGGACTATAGGTGCACCCCACCAAGGTGGAAGAAATTTGAAACTTATTTATATGAGGAAATACTTTATTTTGGTGGGTGTGTGAGTGTGATATTGTAAATGGAATAACCTGATAACCACATCCTCCCCATAAAACATCTAGATTGCTGCATAAAATTAAGCACAACCAAGTGGCCACAAAGCAAGGGGAAATCCCCTGAAGACATGGGAAGAAGAAATGAAAAATGAGCTGTGTGAGCTACTGGGTGTTTGTGGCTCATGGCAACGATAAGGCTTGGATTTCACACCCACCTAGAAACCGGAAATGAGGCCTTCCTGGGGAAATTAAAAACTGAGACCCCAATAGAAAGCTCAGATGCTTAAAGATGACACCCAGAGTGAAAATATGAACTAGAAAATAAAGATATTCCCCAGGGAGGATGAAAGGACCTTATCTATTTCACCTTGAAATCTGATGATAATAAAAGGTGATTCTTAAAATTCTGAAACAAAAACTTGTCTTCTCTTGGTTTTGGAGTCCAAATTTATACCATCTACAGGGGCTGGGAATCCCAAATAAAATGAGCAGTGTGGTCCTGGGTTGGTAACACCCCTGAAGCATCCTTGGCGGAAGCAAACCCAAAAGCCTCTTAGAAAGACATACCCTCCACTAGTTGGTTTTTCATCACTATAATGAAATACCTGAGGTAATTACTACTAAAGAGAAAAGTATTATTTTGGCACATGGGTTTTTTGTTGTTGCTTTTGGTTGGTTTTGTATTGTTTGTTTCTGTGTTTTTGAGGTACTGGGATTTGAACTCAGGACCCTGAGTTTGGCAGATGGACACTCTACTACTGGAGCCACACCCCCAGCCCTTGTTTTGTTTTTTTGAGATGGAGTTTCACTATGTTCTCAGGCTGGTCTCAAACTCACAGGCCCCAGTTATCCACCCAATTCAGCCTCCAGAGTGGCTGGGACTAAGACATGTACCACCATGTCTGGCCACAGTTTTACAGGTTCCAGTCTGTGATTTGTTGGCTGCAAGGCAGCACATCAAAGCAAGAGCGCATAGAGGTACAAAACCATGCGCATCACGATCCAGGGAGCAAAAGAGGACTGGATGGGCCAGCATCCCAAAATCTTCCTTCAGGGCACACTCCAGCGACTTCCCACTAGGCCCTACCTCTTTTCTTTTCTTTTCCCACAATACTGAGGCCTCACACTTGCTAGGTAGGCACTGTACCACTTGAGCCACTCCACCAGCCCTGTATTGGTGTTGGTTTTTTTTTGAGATAAAGTCTCCTGAGGTTCTACCACCTGCCAACAGCAAAGGCCTGGGAACCAAGCCTTTAACACATGGGCCTTTGGGAGAAATTTTGATCTAAGATATAGCACTCTTAAACCTGTGATGTAGCTTCTCACTGACCAGGTTGAGATCACAGCCCTACATCACAAAGTGTAAGGAAACAATCTGTCACGAATGAGAGCAAGCAGACACTGCGTACCACAGAACTGACCTCACCTAGAACTCCAGAAATTAGAGTTGTTGCTAAAGGGTCACACCGTAAGTGTGCTTTAAGTGCCCAGAGAGACAAAAGAAGAACTCAACATGAGAAAGTAAGAAGATAGTGTTAAAAATGCGAGGGGAGCAGGACATGGTGGTCACACCTGTAATCCCAGAGGATTACAGAGGCAGAGGCAGGAGGATCTCAAGTTCAAGGCCAGCCTGGACTACATAATTAGACACTGTCCAAACTGACAAAAAAAAAAGGGAGGAGGGAGAGACTTAAAACAAAGAGAAAGGAGAAAAAGTCATCTGCTCATGCCCAAAATCCCAGCTACTCGGGAGGTAGAGATTAGAAGTATCAAGGTTCAAGGTCAGCCAGGGCAAAAAGTTAGCAAGAGCCCCATCTCAACAACAAAAAAGCTGGGCATGGTGGCACAAGACTGTCATCCCAGCTACCCAGGAAGCATAAGTAGGAGACTCACAGTATAGGCCTGCTCAGATAAAAAACTTGAGATCCTACCTGAAAAATAACTAGAGCACAAAGGGCTGGGCATATGGCTCAAGTGATGGAGAGCCTGCCTAGAAAGTGTGAGGCTCTGAGTTCAAACCCCACTACCACCAAAAAAAAAGATTAGTCTACCCACTTTATTCACTCCCCCCTTGAATTGGGCTCCTGTTGTTTTAGATCATGTTCTGGGTCTGACAATATAAAGATGATTCTGGGGATAGCAAGTTGGACTTTGTCTTGGGAAGACCACATGCATACATGCACGTGTTCATGCATACATATGCATTCATCCATCCAGTCACACAGCGACTCACCGATCTAGCCATTCTCCACTCTTCCATCCATCATCTGTCCGTCCATCCATCCGTCCATCCAGCCATCCATCCACCCATCCAACCATCCAACCATCCATCCATCCAACCATCCATCCATCCATCCGTCAGTCCATCTGTCCGTCCATCCATCCATCTGTCATTTTATAGCATCCTCTAATGTCACAGCTAGAAAGGTACTAATAGAGCTTTTTTTTTTTGTGGTACTGGGATTTGAACTCAGGACCTATACCTTGAGCCACTTCCCCAGCCCTTTTTTCTTTTTACGAGTTTTTTTGAGATAGGGTCTTGTGAACTTTTTGCCCAGGCTGGCTTTGAACCATGATCCTCCTGATCTCTGCCTCCTGAGTCGCTGGGATTACAGGGTGAGCCACAACACCCAGCTCTAATCAACTTCCAGCATCTTGATCAACTTCCAGCTTCTTGTATAGAAGATGAGGTCCCCAATACAGAAGTCACTCCTGTGAAGTTTCTAAGCAAGTCAGGTGATGGAGCCAGATTGAGAGCCAGGGGACTTGTCGTACTTTCCCTTCTATACCTGCTGCTCTCTGGGCACATGGCATTCAGGCATCTAAGCTCTGAACCCCTGTCCCTCTTCTGTCTCCTTTGTGGATCGTTCATTCCTTGTGGGCAGAGTCCCCACAACCTATTCCTGTCAGCTGCTGGTGACAAGAAGTGATATAATTGCTTAGTCCATGGGTGGCAGATAGAGATGAGTGAGGAACCCTGATTTATTCATTCATTCATTTTTTTTTTGGCAGTTCTCACTATGTAGCCCAGATTGGCCTCCAACTCTCTATCCTCCTGCCTCTGCCTCTTGAGTGCTGGGATTATAGGCATGAACTACCATGCCCAGCACATCCCTTTTCTTTTAACAAGGAGTAGAGTTTGGGGTCAATGCCTCCAGCAGACAACAATGTCTACTTAGAACTTAATAACTTTGTCTACACTGTATTTATTTTCATGTTACATCTTCTATTTATGGCAAATGATACTCGTTTTCCATTTATAGAAGTAATGCAAAAAAATTCCTTTAAAGTAAATTTATTAAGCAAATAGCTAACCTAAAGAAAAATATAAAGTAAATAATAATACTACAGGTGATAAACTGATATGGCAAAAATCCTAATATTTACAATTGATATTTAGGAAATCAGACCCCTAAGGAATAGAAACTACATTGCACTCCCACCCTCGCTCCTCTCCTACAGGCAAGGTCAGCCAATAACCCACACACATTTGAGGCTCCATTTCTATGGCGTAGGTCATTACAACTAAGTCTGTCTTGGGGCAAACTGACTCTGAACCACTCCAACAAGCTGGGAGGGAAGATGGCAAATGAGAGGCAGCACTTGGAGCAAGCCTTCCCTAGGATGATGCTCCTTTCTACATTGGCTCAAACTCAGTTCTTGGCTCAGGGTTTCCTCACCATGAGTAGTTAAGATCCAGAGGGCTGAGGTGTGTGCAGCTGGCAGAAGATGGGCAGAAGAGCTGGTTGGTCTTCAGAGAGGACCCCTTCAAGTCAGCTTGGCAATTTCCTTGTTCCCATTTGAGATCAAAGCCAAGGTTCATATGTAACAAAAGGCTCTTGATCTTGTTCTCTGTGTGGCTTTTCCTGGAGGACCTCTTGGTGGTGGTGGGGTGGCGGGGATAAGTGGCTAGAGAAGGATAGGAGCTGTATTTCTGGGAAGCTGGATTCTTGCTATCTCCCACCAGCACCTCGGACAGTTATCATCATCACATTCAGGATCTATGGATCCCTCTGCTCGGATATTGGCACCTTAGGTACATCCTGACTGACGGTGAACTGGTTGGTCTGATGCTGTTTCCTGCCTGATGCTCCCTTAAGTTCTTACACTGGAGTGCAATCTTGCTTCTGGTCCACAGTCAGCCCTGCCTCTGGTTCTCTGAGGCATTGAAGCATCTGAGCAGTTGAACTGAGGCACTTCTGGGTGTTCCTTGGGGCACAGGCTGTCCACACTCGCTCAGCTTGCCTGCCATCCAGGCTCAGAAGAATGGAAATGCAGACATAAAAAGCCTGAGAGCATCCAAGCTCAGGAGTAACCCTAAAGCTGGAGACGGGTGGGTGGATGGGGGAAGCGGTGTCACTCTGAAGTGGGACCTTCTGCAGGAGTCTCTGGGTAGCATATCCTGCAGGCCCTGGGGATTCAAACTCCCACACTGGCCCGGCCTTCCCGCCTCCAGAATGCTGAGATCTGCTCCAGGGTGACCCGAGGCTGGAGGCCCCAGTCTGGCTCAGGGCTACCTGGGCGCTGCCTCCGGGCCTGAAGGTCCCCAAGCTGCATGTTGATCTCTGGCCTCAGCTCAGGCCCACCCCAGCTCACCAGGCCTGTGGTGTGGGGCCTCTCCTCCCAGGGCTGGGGCCCCCAGAAGGTGCTGCGGACTGGGACCTCAGGTGGAGTCTGGAGGACCAAAGAGCTGGGAGCAGAGTGTGGGAACAAAGGGGCAGGGGGCGCAGTAGCTCGGGCCTCCAAGGTGCCCCCAGGGGCAAGAGGCTCTGGGGCCCTGTCCGTCAGGAGGGGCATTGCAGAGCCATACCAGTCCTCAGAACGTTCTCTAGGGGTCCCCGTGGGCTCAATCCACAACTCTCCTCCAGGGCGCCAGACCAGGGTGTGTGGGCGCCGGCTGGCGTCTGTGTGCAGTGAGCGGCGGAACAGGCGTTCGGCCAGCACAGCTGTGGTCACGATGAAGAAGGCAGCCAGGGAGGCCAGGGCTAGCATGATGGGAACACAGGGTCCACAGGGGAGTGGGGGCCACAAGGCAGCCTCAGACATGGGGAGTCCTTCTGTGTGCTCCAAGGGCTGCTGGGGAGTTGAAGGCATCTGAGATACACAGAGATGAGGAGAGGAAGCAAATGAGGCAGGGCTGGCCCAGTGGAGAGAGGGAGAGAAGCAAGTGTCCCAGAAAGCAGAGCAACACAGAGGGCAAAGGGGACTCAGTATCTGACTTGAGAAGCAGAGGAGCAAAGGGGACCCAGAGATGACAAGAGGGAGCTAAGTAGGGCTGAAGGACAGGCAGAGCCCCCTCTGCCAGCAGCTAGGCCCTCCTGCGGCCATTCCAATCTCTTTCCAGAAGCTACATTGCCCTCCCAGATCCTAGGATGCCTCAGACAAAAGGTCTAGGCCCCTACATATCTTGCTCTGGCCTAGAGAGGAAGTGGCCAGAAAGGAAATGAGAGAGAACCTCCCCTTCTGGCCCCTTCCTGCCTGTGTAGCCCCTCTTCTGGCCACCTCTGCTGGCCCTCAGCACACCTTTGCTCCCTTGCCTTTCTCCTTGAAAGAGGTCTTGCTCCCTAGGCGCCATTGCACTTGCTGCTGGGCCTGGCCTCAAGTAACACCTCTATGCCTGTCCCAGCCTCTTTGGCTTTGCTGGCCTCTGTCTCCCTTGTTTGTCTCGGCCCACCTCTCTCTAGCCTCCAGACCCATCTGCGGGGACAGATGATCTGTACTCACCTTGCCTTGGGTCAGTCCCAGGCTCTCTCTTCTGAGCCACTCTTCCCTGTGCATGCTGGGAGAGTGCAGGGTGGCTGTCTGGAAGGCTCTAGATGGCTGGCCTCAGATGAGGGCGGAAGGGAGGCCACCACCTGTTGCTGGGCAACTGTGCCCCAACTCTTTCTGCCCCTGTGGAGTGTCTCCAAGGCAACCTGGGAGGATGTGGTCACTGTGGTGAGGAGGCGTTTCCTGGGTAAGGTGGGGCCGGAATGGACAGTGGTTCTGTTGAACTCAGTCTCACCCCACAGCAAGCCCCAGCCCCAGAGGGGTGCAGACACTCTGGCCCTTCCACTGTCACTGCCCATTCCTGGGAGGTTCCACATCCCAGTCCTGCCCTGATCGCTGGGCCTCCCCAAAGTTGTCTTCATCCAGTGCCCCACACCCCTCCTACTTGACCCAGGTTTTTTGTTTTTTTTTCTTTCTTTTGGCAGTACTGGGATTTGAACTTAGGGCCTTCCCCTTGTTAGTCAGGCGCTCTACCATTTGAGCCACACCTCCAGCCAATTTTTCTTTTATTTTTGTATTAGGGTCGCACATTTATGCCCAGGCTGACATGAACTGTGATTCTCTTATTTATACTTCCCAGGTAGCAGGGATGGCAAATGCACAGCCATTGCTGTGTGAAATAGGGACTCAAGAAATTTTTGCCAGGCATTGGTTTTGAACCATTATCTTTTTACTCTCTACCTTCCCAGTCACTAGGATTATAGGAGTGAGCCACCATGCATGACTACATTTTGACTTTTTTTGTTGTTGTTTTTCTGAAATACGGTCTCACTATGTAGCCCAGGCTAGCCTCGAACTTGCCATCCTCCTGCTTCAGCCTCCTTTCAGGATCAGGCTGAAAGCTAGGATTACAGATGTGCCATACCATACTCGGCTGTATGTTCTCTTTTAATTAATTTTTTTCTTCTAAAAGAAGACAAACCTCTAGAAGAATAATATTAAAGTCAGAAAGAAGAGCTGGTGGTGTTTTTGTCAAGTGGTAGAGCACCTGCCTGGCAAGTGTGAGACTCTTGAGTTCAAAACCAGTGCTGGAGAGAAAAAAACCAGAAAGATGAGGCATGATTTTTCTGTTACTAAGGTATCAAACTGGCTGATTTGATTTTTTTTTTTTCTTTTTTGCTGTACTGGGGTTTGATCTCAGAGCTTTGCGCTTGCTAGGCTGGCGCTCTACCACTTGAGCCATGCCCCCAGCTCTAGGCTGACTTCACATATTTTTCATTGCTTAAAAAAAAAAACTTTAACAATTTTAACTGATTCCTCAAAAAAATGAAACATAGTATTATCATACTACCCAGCAATTTCACTTCTACCTATACACCTAAAAGAACTGAACGTAGCTGAGCCCAAATGGCTCACGCCTGCAATCCTAGCTACTCAGAGAGCAGGAGGATCGAGGTTCAAAGCCAGCCCCTGGGAAATAGTTCGAGAGACCCTATGTCAAAAAAAAAAAAATCATAAAAAAGGGCTGACAGAGTAGCTCAAGTGGTAAGAGAACCTGCCTAGCAAGCGTGAGACCCTGAGTTCAAATCCCAGTGCTGCCAGAAAAAAAAAAAAGAAAGAAAAATAACTAAAGCAAAAAAGTGCTAGTGGTGTGTCTTAAGTGGAAGAGAGTTTGCCTAGCATTCATAAGACCTTGGGTTTGAACCCCAGCACTGCAAAAAAGAAGAAGGTTAATATGGTAAATTTTAGGTTAGATATATTTTATCACAATGAAAATTTAAACTATTATTACAGAAAAACAAAAAAATTATTTTCTATATGATTCCCGCCTCAACCCTTTTTGTTGTTGTTGTTACTCAGGACCTCATGGTTATTAGGCAGGCACTCTAACACTTGAGCCACTCTGCCTATCCTCCTTTACAGGCTTCTTCCAGGGTGGGGATTAGAACCCAGATGTCCTGATCTTCAGGGTCCTCCCACCCCACCATGTAACAATTTCTGAAAAATGAGTAGGGAAGTTACTCAAGCAGGGTATGCAGAGAGGTCTCTGGATCAGAAGCAGAAAGTAGGCCCTTGGGGGATGTCTTCTGGGTAGGGGGCTGCTGCTGGGGCCAGGTGTGCAGGAATGAGCCTGACTGAGCCTAGAACCAGCTTGAGAAAACCTTATTTCTTCATTTACTCAGTTGCTGACTCTAGGCTGCTATGTGCTCGCAATTTACTGAATCTTGTGTAGCGGGAAGTCTCTGTAGGAAGAGGCTCGGTTGGCTCCTAAAGCTGTAAAACTCTGCTAGGTGCCAGTGGCTCACACCCATAATAGTTCACGAGACCCTATCTCCAAAATAACCAGAGCAAAATGGTTCAAGAGATAGAAAGCCCCCTTTGCAAGAGTAAAGCCCTGAGTTCAAACCCTAGTACCACAAAAATAAATAAATAAAATAAAAATAGTGCAGCTCCTCAGACTTTTATCCTTGGCACTCTTCAATCCCAAATCGATGGGGCTGTTTTAAACTGTGGTCTGCAGCTGGGCATGGTGGTGCACACTTGTAATCCCAGCACTCAGGACTCTGAGGCAGAAGAATCATGAGTTTAAGGCCAGTCTGGGCTACATAGCAAAACTCTGTATAAAAAAAAAATTTTTTTTTGGTTCATAAATTCTTTGATTCTCCTCTTTTTTTGTTGAGACCTCATCAGAAAAGCTGAATGTGGTGGTGTTAACGGCAATGGTACAGTCTGTGATCAGATTTCCAAATTCTTTGTGTCCCATGTAGAAGAATCCATAGCAAGACACGTGGGTGTAATGGAGCTTATTAAGAGTTAGGAAAGAGAAACACAAAAGAGGACATGGTGGGACCAGCTGGAAGCAGAGAGAGAGCTAGAGAGAGAGCTAGAGAGAGTCTTTTTTCCAGGTACTTTTAAAACTTATGCCAAGTTTTATGGGAAGGGAAAAACTGGTGATTCCCAACCAATATCAATGAGTGGGGCAGGCATGGGTGGTCCCAGGCCAGGTGAGCGTGGTTTGAGTTGTCCCTGAGCTAGGGTGTGAATAACCTGCACATACTTGCAATTGAAAAGAAGCCTCAGAGAAATAGAGGAATGTTCAATCTGAAATACGATATTAAATTCTGTATTTTGTAAGAGTCTGGAACTTTTCCTAATTCTGGCCTGCCTCAGTGGTACATACTTGTGAGGAGGAGGACTGAGGTAAGCCCAGGCTGCCCCAGGCAAAAAAAAAAAAAAAGTAAGACTCTACCTAAAAAAGAACTAAAGCAAAAAAGACTGAGGATATGTCTCATGTGGTAGAGCACCTGCTTGGCAACCACGAGGCCCTGAGTTCAAACCCCAGTACTGGAAAAAAAGAAAAAAAAGTTGAGTCTAAATCATCTCCTCTTGAATATGGGCTGGCCTTAGTAGCTGACTTGCAGAAGTGACACAGAATTACTTCTGAGGTAGGTTAAAAAAAGGGGGCGGGGAGGCAGAAGTGCTACATGGGGCTCTCTGTCTTCCTCTTGGAATCCAACCACCATAGTTCCATGAAGACACATGTAAGTGCCCTGGCTAAGGTCCCAGCTAGGGTCCCAAATGCCAGTCAACACTGACTACCCAGCATGTGAATGAGCAAGTCTTCAGTGACTCCAGCCTCAGCCTCAGGCCACCTCCTACAATGCTAAGAAAAGCAGAGAAAGGTGTCCCCAGAGCCCTGCTCAAAACACAGATGAGGGGTGGTGCCAGGGGGGTGTGTAAACATTGCTCTCTTGGGGTTCAGCTCTGGAGTGGCTTGTGACACAGAAATAGTTAACTAGTGACCTTTATTTCAACTGTGGATAAGGACCATTGTTCAGAAGCCCCTGTGGGGTCTTTTCAAAGATTACCACTTTATTTCTGTGCTTCCTGTCCCTTTTAGGGTCAGATTTGGGGAGGGTGAGGAGGAAGAGCATGGAGTTGGTTCAAAAATTCCACAGGAGCTGGGCGCTGGTGGCTCGCGCCTGTAACCCTAGCTACTCAGGAGGCAGAGATCAGGAGGATCTCAGTTTGAAGCCAGCCTGAGCAAAATAGTTCTTGAGATCCTATGTCAAAAAAACTCATCACTAAAAGGTCTGGTGGAGTGGCTCAAGGTGTAGGCCCTGAGTTCAAACCCCAGTACCACAAAAAAAAAAAAGAAATTCTATAGAAAACTCAGAGAAGCCTTCTCTCTGGCTAAGGCCCACTAGCCTGCTCTGTTTAATACAGAAGCCACTTGCCACGTGTGGGTCTTCGAATTCAAATTAATTTTGAAAATGTTTAAAATTTTGTTCCTTTGACTCAGTAGTTACGTTACATTCAACTGCTCAGTAGACATGTGCAGCCAGTGGCCACTGGTCACTGTCCACAGCGTAGATACAGAATGCTTGCACCATTCCAGAAAGTTCTGAAAGTGTGGCTAGGTAGAACCTCACTATCCAGAATGAGATCAGAGAATTAACAAGACACAGTACATCGACATGCAATCTCAGGCTCTGCCCAGACCTACTGAATCAGAATCCGCATCTTAGCGGGTACCTAGGTGAAAAGCCGGGCAGTAGCAAAGAGTCTAAGCCTTAGCTGTGCATTAGAAGCATCTGGGGGAGCTTAGAAAAAGAAAAAGAAAAAAAAGCCAGGTGCTCAGGCCACATTTCAGACCAAGAAAATCAGAATGTGGGTGGGATCCAGGCATCAGGCTTTTTAATGGTGTTCCAGATGATTCCAACATGCAGCCGAAGTTGAAAACTACTGCTCTAATATGTATCTTCTGGGATCTAACAGCCTTCCCCCTGCTGGATAATTTCATCAGCATCTCTATTTGAGAAACTCCTGAATGATTGTAGTAAGCTATTGAGGGGCTGAGTATGGTGGTACATACCTGTAATCCCAGCTACTTGGGAAATGGAGGTAGGAGGATCTCCATCTGCGGCTGGCTAGAGCAAAAGCATGAGATCTTATTGAATTCCTACAGCATAACCCTGCACCCAGCCCCAAGTTACCAACCAAGTTGAACATGTCACTTGTACTGGACCAATCAGTTCTTTCCCTGTGATTTGAGAAGTGACACTAAATAATTCTGGGGGTGACGTGTGACATGTAAAATTTGGGACTATCAGTGGCCCCATCTTCATTTATGGGCCAGAGAAGTGAAAGAATCATGGGGAGG